TTGCTGGGTTGCTTGGAGGTTTTTTTTTAACTTTCTTTGCATGTTTTATACATTTGCAATCCTCATAATGCTTTCTCATTTTTTTTCTCCAGGGGTAAAGTCAAGGCTGTCAGTTTCCTCTTACCAATGGATATGTCACCATGTGCTGAAAAGCAAAGTTCCCTCAAAAGCCCGGGAAATCAGAGCACAAAACCTCTGATGACCGTCGCTGAAAACGATATGTGAACCAGTGAATTTTTAAAGGGCTATTGATTCCCCGAGATAAACTGGCCTTAAATGACAGCTGTGTGTCAGGTTCCTCTATTGCAAAACGCTTTGGCAGGACGCCCACAGAGCATCACCCAGCCTGTGTTTCGGGTCACAGCCCGACATTCAGCGTGGAAATGGAAGCCGTGGCGAAGTCGGCTGGAAGCCCATACACTGTGATGAAGCCACACAAAGCAAAGGTACCTCCACACAGTGCTTCTGAGCAACACATTTCAAGGACCCCTTACCTCAGGACTGATGGAAACAGGCTGTTGAAGCTGGTTTTTATGTGTTTGTCGCAAAAATCATAAACTTTGTCGCTGCTTGTGTTTGCTGATTCCGTGGACAGGAAAGTATTTGATGCAAATGACAAAGTAAGAGCCACTAAGCAGCCTGTGAGGTTTTCTCTGTAGGTATAACTTTTAAACTTCACAGTACTAATAAGGAAAGCTAAGAAAGCATTAGAGAGTCAGTTAATGTCACCCTGAATTTCTGCAAACCTTGGCAATGACTGTTCATGTTCATTTGAGGTTCACCTCTAAGGGAGCACAGGGGAGCATAAGTACCTATGGGTATGAAAATGTGACTACAAATCTCTTTCTGGCTTGGTGTGTTTACCCAGATGGAGACTAAAGGCTGTACACCAAGCCAAAATAGGAAGAATTGTGAGTATCAGAATTTTTCAGGAATGCCTTCTCAGCACAGCTCAGATCAAAAATCACTAGCAGAAATTCAGGAAACAGGTGCAAAATATATGTGAGAGAGAACTAGAGATAGCTTGTAAAAAATGAACAGTGCTTGTTAGTTTTAGTCATATGAGTAAAGACAGTGTCCCATTTTATTTTGATTACAAGTATTTATGGAATCAAAATACTGCACATTGCTATTTCTTTATGTACAGAGGGAACTGATGATTGAATTTTGTATAGAGAACGCATGAAGAGTAGATGTTTGTACTGATAACTTTATGGAAGATTTTCATCTCATTGTCTGATCTTAAACTCTTCAGTTTCCTAAAGTGACAGCAGAGACCTGGTGGAAAAAAAATCCCTTCTAGATTTTCCATGAAGTTGTATATTTGTATAAAATTCTGTGCTCCTTTTTTTCATTTTGAAATTCATCATGTTTTGTATATTCAAGTACACTTTTAATATATACTCACCACTGAAGTAGTAATTTCAATTTCACTGCTATTTTATTTGTGTATTTTTATGTTCAACTTGGGTCCATAGAGAGTAGCATTGTAATATCAGATGTAACGAATTAATGACTTCCAGTAAATGAGGTTCCAGTTTGGAAAGTTTACTGAACAGCCCATTTTAGAAGGCATTACAGGGCAGCATTTTCTAAATGTTTTAAAGAAAACATCATTGTCAGGAACGAGATACAGCATATGTGTTCAGTTAAGCACCTAAATCCAGTTGATTTCACTTAGCAAACTAACAAACAGTCTTTGAGAATCTGGCCCCTGGACCTTTAGGTACCCAAGTTTTTGACAAATAATGTTTGAACACCAGATTTAATGTGATTTTAGAATCCATATGCTTTAGACAACTTTCAAAATTTCAACTCTTAATTTTTCTGAGCCTCAGCTTCCATGAAGCAATACTGGGAATTGTCTTCTCCCACACTTTTTACATCAGTTCACTGTAGGTGACTGACACTAAGAATGCATACTAGTAAGCATGTGACAATGTCAGAGGTAGTGGGGTGCTGATGTTGCACAAACAGATACAACTTTGTGTATGGTCAAGAAATTAGACTCATTGGACATTTATTAGAGGTATAATGGTCTTAAACTTTTGTATACTTAAAGGGGGAAAAAGAACAGAAAAGATGGAAAGGAAAAGAGGGACAGGAATCAAAGTAGTCATTGACAAATAGCAGTCGGTATATTAATGGATTTATTTTTTAATTATATTTTTGCAGTCTTTAGCAGTGCCCACAGATTTAAGAACACATGATGATACACAGGCACATTAATTTTCAGAAGCAGTTGTGCAGATTTGACCTAGCTCTGTATCTCCAGGAGAACCAGATTGTAGCAGAGGCCACAAAGAAATCACTTAGCACATCATTTTTACCACAGTACAGCATGAAGTAACTTACCATGGAGCACTCAGTGGCAATTAAAACATTCCAATATGAACCATAGATGGTTCAGAGCAAAAAGGGCAGGTATAAGCAAAGCGAGTGTTAAAAGACAGAGAGATGCTGGCAGCAATTACACCATGGTCCTTTTCTTTCTTCTTCCCAGGAGGATCCATACAAGTTTAGAGGAGCTCTGAGCTTCTGCCTAAAACTACTCTGTAGTTTAATATATCTATATTAAACCCCAGAATATATACTAAACCCTACTCACTGATGGTCAGGCTTGTTGGACAATTTCTGACCAGAAATTCCTTTTCTCAGAGAGGTGGTCAGTGGTATTCAGCCATGCAGGTGTGGGACTGCAGGAGCAGCTGAGACAGCAGGATGTTCCCTCCTGGACGAGCACTGGACACTGAGAGATGTAAACTCCTGTGTCACACTTGTGCTTGGGACTAAAGTAACTTTATATCTCCATAGTGAATGCCAATAATGATGGAGTCCACCACTGCCATTTGTTAAATGACATGTTCTCCACTCCATTGGCACTAGTCAAGAGTAGTGAAACATGTCTCTAGGCTGGAGACAAAAGACTCTCATCAGAGATGGTTCTAGACTTCAATCAATGGGATAGTGCTGATTTAACTGTTATTTCACATTTGTGTCATTGTGAGAGAGAAATTGGGTATTATCTCTCTTTAGGAAAGTCTTTTTAAAGCTACGGTTGTAATACAAGAGCACAAATCCATGAACAGGGGGAAGGACTTACTGAGGATGAAGGTGAAATTTAGATATTGTGTGTCTGAGGGTAGCACACAGTCAAATGCTTGAAATCTTGATCCCCAACTTAAAAATTATAATCCTTAGATGCAGCATCAACCTACAGTAGATCTCTCCCTTGCCAAAGAATGAACAATGCCCAGATAGCAAAATCCAAATAAATAAAAAAGCTTGCCATTCATAAAACTGCATTCTCCCTGAACAGTGCTGCTCAGCTGTATGGTGGAAAGTGCTCCTGTTGGAGGGTGTGCCTACAACAGCATTTCAGTCAGAGCCAGGACTACACTCCTGAGTGAATTTCCTGGGCAAACCCACTTACCTTACTTTGTTTCACATTGTAGAGTGGTCTCAGAGCACAAAAATGGATCTTTTCTGGATGAAACTAAGTCAGAGGATGTGCTTATAAAGTGCTCCAACAGCTAGCAGGTATTCAGTGCATGGGACCACACCAGAAAACCCTCTGAAATACTTGTAGTTTGGACAACAGTACTGATGGTTTCGCTCTATGCATCCTCTTCTAGTGGTCTGCTCCTGCAGATAGAGCTGCAGAGCACCCAGACTAGGGAGCTACTGTCTCAGAGATTTGAAAAAAAAAAAATCTAACCAGGTGAAATTTCATCTTGTTATACTATAAAGAGGAGGAGATGCCTTTCATCAGTCTTACCTCTATCTGGCGTTTAAAGAGCCTCGCTCTTGCCATGGACACAGAGGTGGAAATATGATGCTCTAGACTGTTACAGAGGAGCAACATTACCACCTTCTCCAGTGAGTTCTTGCTCAAACTGGTCTCATGCTGGCACCCTTAGACAATGAATCCAAGCCCAAAGGTAATAAATCAGTGTGCAGGATACATCTCCTGTCAAAGTCACCCACCTAGTCCAAGCTCCATTTATAGGAGCGAGAGCACAATTTATGATGCGCTGAATTGTCCACAGCTGTTATATCCATTGTATTTTTGCTCCTGTGTCTGAAATCCCTGACAGCTGAACTTCAATTTTTCTCTGCCATTTCTGATCAGGCATAATCTAAGAATATATCAGCATGGAAGTAATTCAGCTGAGCAGCCTCTGACACCAGGTAAGTGATGTTGATCTTTAATGCTGTTGTTCTCAATGACGTTAGCAACATTAATTCCAGCACTGACAGGCTCCCTCTGCAGTCTTGAAACTTTATTTTTGTTTAGCTGGATTGACAAAATGAGTAATAAACTGGAAACTCATCTGAAGGTCTCAAATAGTGCATAGGCCTTGAGCAGTCCTCCAGTGTTGTGACAAATTTGATGCTACATAACTCCATTTACACGTCCTTCTGCGCCCACCTACACATGGACGGCTGGTTCAAAGGTCACAGATGCTTTTTTTACTGTTGGGTGCTATCAAGTACTACGCTATTTTCCTTTCAGGATGCAAAAATACAGGTTGTATTAGATCTATTCTGCACTTCCACTGCATAATTCCTTTGCCCAGCAAAAGACCTGTTAAGAGATTAAGCTGTTATCACAGTTAAAAAGCAGATCAAACTCTGCTAACCTTCCACGGGGAAGTTGTTGGCTGTGCTGAAGTCAAGACAGATGGTCACTTCAGGGAATGTTTCCTTTATGGCAAGTGCTCATTTGAGTAGGAATATTTCTAGCCGGATGAGTCACCTCTTTCTCGATTGCTGCATCAGATACCAAAAAGTGCTTTTTACACGGGGATATTCAAAGACATGGCAGAAGCTGAAAAATACATCTTCAAAGCATCTTGCAAGGGTTTCCTTCTCCAGTGGGAGTATTATACAGCACGTGTAGATTGTTTAAAAAAAATAACCTCCACTGTTTTATTTTTACTGAAAACTGTGATGAAATGTTCTTTTTTTTCTTTTTCTTTTTTTTTTTACAAAAATCACGTGGTGCTTGATATAAAAAAAACAGTCCCACAACAGCAAAATGCAGAAAATCATAATAATTTTTTTCTGTTTAATGTAAAACTAAAAAACTTAGAGTAAAGTGCAAAAATTAGAGCGAACATTTCTGTTCTGTGGCTCTTCAGCAGCAGGTTTGACTCTTCCCTGGTTTAGAGGACGGGGACCATCATCTGCATGCTGGTTGCCATGGAGACTCCCATCGCTTTTGGAATCACAAGTTTTGCCTGAAAGGAAACACTCCTGCAGTGTGAGTTTTTAATGACCATAGAGGTTTCTGTTTGTCAGCACATCATATACTAGATTAACTACCATGCCTAAGCAGGTGGGAGGGAAAGGAGTAAAATATTTTCTAGTAATTAGTGACAACATATTTAGTCTGTATAAAATCCACAAAACACATAAATAGGACTACAAGACTTGCTGCATTAGATTAGGCTGTTATGGCATCAAATCTGTTATCTCTCAGTATCAGCTACTTCAAAGGAGATAAACTTTGGTCACAGAACATGAGCATGGGAATAAATCCTTGCAACTCCTGCAGGAGACTGGCCTGAGGACTGAGGTCACTCTTTCTCAGGCTTGACTCGATAAGCTTCCCCATAACTACATGTTTTCTAGGAAAAGATGTGTACATGAACAATTGGGTCTGCCCATGCGAAGAGCTGTCTAACATTTATCTGTTCTATTTGCACTGCCAGAAGGGCTCTGAGGTTTTACAGCACTGTCAGCTTCTTTCTCCCTAGTGCACAATTAACACCTGGGATTGCTCCAAAGGTGAGATTTGTTTGACCCTAAACAGCGTGCAGAAGGGTTTAGTTTCACCAACGTGTATATGCTGGCATGAATTTCTGGCTTGAGTTACAACAATGGTTATTCAGAAAAGGAATATAAAGAACCTGCAAGATTAAGCCTCAGTTACTTCCTAGTTCTGTTGTCTCTGAAATGATAACTAAATAACTACCTGTTAAATCTGCAATTTTCCTTTGATTTCTTCTTTGGAGGCTGTTTTGGGCATCTGTGGGGCCATCAACATACTTCATTGCAATAGCTGGGGTCTGGTCCTTCTCTGGCTGAGTCTGAGTAACTGAAAGAAGAACAGAAAAGGGCATTTAATTGTGTTGTATTAACATTCATTTGGTCAAGGAGGAAAAGATATGTGAAGTTGATCCTACCTGGCTGATGAGAACTTGGTATTGTTTCAGTCCTGCCTTCTGGAAAAGATTGAACAGATTCATGGCCAGAATCTAAGTCTTTCATTGGCCTTCCCATAATCTCATTCTCAGTTGCAGTTTTATTTCTAATGAGGAAGTATGTATGCATTTTCCCTTTGCCTTTTACTTCTATTTCTCCTCTCTCAGTAATCTCGAAATTCTTGTATTTTAGGCACCTATAGTATCAGAAACAAAATGACACATGAAAATTCAAGATTAGCAAAAATAACATTGATATTTTAAAAGAGCTAAGTAATGAAATCACAACAGCTTGGGAAAAACAGTCTTGATTTGTGAACAACTGAGGGTTTGTTTCAACTGTTTATTCAGGCCTGCTGTGGTTTTATATATTAACATATACAACCTGATCAAAAATCAATGGATCACAAAGCCAAATACTTCAGAGTGGTGGAGGGTTCTTATTGACCAGAAATTAAGGACTGAGGCAGCCAATATCAGCTAGACAGAATTATCTCCAGTCGTTTCATCAGAGAAAGCAATCAGGTCTGTCAAGCATGATTTACTTCATTTTACATACAGACTTGCTACTCCCAGTTGCCCCCTTCATGTGTCCAAAAATGGATTGAAGAGGACTTGATTTTCACTGGGACTGACACGAGCATGATCAGCTATAGTTTCACACCCTGTCCTCCTTGCCATTTTTCCACAGAGCTGTAACATCTGTCTTTCTTCAGCTGACAGTCTTGACCTTCCAAAGGTGACAGTCAGCAGCACTGCAGTGCCATCACCCAGCTCTCTCATTACCTCACATCCCATCTGCTCCCATACCTTTCCAAAGACTGAGATTTCTCAAAAGACCCCTGATCTGATCCTCTTCCAATATTGGTACTTCACCTACTCCTTGAACCCTGACTCTTGGTGCAGGGACCTTGAAGACCTCATCAGTGACTACTGAGGCAAGACAGGCCTTGAGTAACTCAGCCTTTCTTCAGGGCACTGTCTCTAAATCACCTGCCACAGCAGGTCCACATTTCCATTTACACTTCTCTGCTAACACAGCAGAAGCTCCCCTGACTGCCTTTGAACTTTCCTTGCCCATTTCAATGCTAGCTAAGCTCTCGCTTTCCCAATATCATTCCTGTGATATCCTGAGACAATGTTGTTGTACTCCTTCCTTTGCAGTTTCTTTGCTTCTCCCTCTTGCATACAGATTTTACACATACATAAAATTCTTGAAAATTTAATTTTTACTAACATGAGTTTCAGGAAAGTAAATTACTCACAGCATGAAGAGGATAGTTGTTTATGCAGTTAATCCTTGGTAAGTGTAAATAAAACTGTTTCTCTACAAATTATTGTGCTCAATTAGAGAGATTTTAAAGCTTTTATTATTAAATGTTCTAAATGTTCTGCTTTTCTAGCATCTGCATCGCTTTATCAGGACTTCCAACTAAGTTATCACAATTATATTTTTTAATATTTTGCTCTCTAGGATGGAGACTCTCAAATTTCTGTCTCCACATATAAGTACAATTGGAATAATCAGAACAAATAAAACTCTTTACGAGCATTGATTTTCCTTTATAACCTGCTTAAACTGGTGACTAAGGCAGCACCATCTACACTGCAGCTGTCAAAGCAATGGTTTTTAGCACTGATTTTAATAGGTAAAGTTTCCATCACAGTTACTCACTGATAGGCACTGGAGCTCAGATGTATTTTACTGGGCACACCGTGGCTCTCCATCCGGGAAGCAATATTCACTGTGTCTCCAAACAAGCAGTAACGAGGCATCTTTTCTCCAACAACTCCAGCCAAGACAGGACCTGTATGGATCCCAACTCGAATCTTTACAAAGACATAAAACACCCCCCAAAAATGTCACTTGTTGTTTAACATCTTTCTTAATGCTATTCAGCCACCTAAAAGTTCATCTCAACACAACACTGGACAGCAGTAAGATATCAAATTTCCACATGGAGAGGCTCCTCATGGAAAATGTACCCGTGTGGGCCTCGTTCAAAGCCACAGAGGAGTCAGAAGGAGCTCTTTGAGGTCCTGCTGCAATACATTAACTAGAAGCCCAACCCAAAAAGCAGACAGACACACATGCATCATTGTATTAATTACTTACTTGGATAGGATTTCCAGAAACTGGGTTCTGTACTCCTTTAGCTGCAATTATCATCCCCAAGGCAAAATTAGCAACTCGCTCAGCGTGAGTGGGAACAGGCACAGGGACCCCACCTACCACCATATAGGCATCTCCAATTGTCTCCACCTTTAATTGAGAGGGACAAGCACGTGAGCATGCCATGTACATCTTGCTCAGGTTAGTGTTTTGCTGCTAGAGTCTGCACCAACTCTCCCCTTCTCCTGAAAGATGTTTCAATCACCAAAAAGCTTTAGCACAGGTGAGTTTCCTTGCGACAGAGATCCTCTCTTTCACTCCACACTAAAAATTTCACTGCACTGTGTCCCTGCTTACTTGACCAACTTTAGATATCAGTGAGAGAGACTCTAAGGAGTAAGGGTTGCTGTGCAAGTGTCAGACTGTTTGCCTTCCTCTTACCCAGGACAGATCTACATGCAGAGGGCTATCCCCAGGCACAGACTCCTGAGCCAGGTTATCTGATAGATTAATGCTATTAATTAGCTCTAATTCACAATTAGTGCTGAAAGCATATTTCTTATTTAAGAGAGATTTGGTTTTTTAAAGTCACAATAAAGCAAGGGAGACTATTCACTGATGATTAAGGGGTTCACATGAACTTAAGGAGCCTCCAAACTCCAGGATGTCAGAGAATGCAGTGTGAGCTAAGCAGTTTGGAAGCATCCTTCCTTACAGCCAGCTGTTTTCCAACAACAGCTGCAGCCTGCAAGACAAATGTTGAAGTGTTCATACTCCTTCAGGCATCCAGTCTCCTTGAAGTGCATGATAAAGGACCTGAGAAACACTTCAGATTTTGTCTCTGTATCAGAATTTTTGCTGGGAATAGGACAGGCCTGTTTGAAACAGAGAATTCTCAAATGTTTAAAATTCACTGCAGAAGATTGTTACACGGTAAGGAAATTTTCTAAACTGCTCTTATGAGACTTCACTGTCACATTTACCATCAGCAAACAAGAGAACTTTTAGATCAGACTAACTGGATTTCTTAAAAAAGAACATCAATAGGACAGTGGAAACATAATTTAATATTTGGGTTTGTTCACTAACCTAATGACTTAAAACTGTTCACTACATCAGTCTCAAAGAATGTGTTCCTCTCCATGCCTTCTATAAGATAGCCAAACCCACAGTAATTTTCTGTAACAAATTAAAAACAACTGTAAAAAGCTACTAATGCAAACAGATACCCTAATTATTTTTCAGCTGTAATAGGAGATTTAATTTAAGAAGATTTATTCATAACTTCAGATGTTTATAAGCTTGGGCCAAGTTTCTTTAATCAATTTCACTATTCCATTTCCCAATTCCCTGTAACAGTAATCTTGTCTTCCCCCTCTGTACCCTGGTAACCTCCTTCAATATTAATAGGAGTTATATACAGGCATCAAAAGGAGATTATTATAGTGACAGATCATTTACTCATGATGGATGATTTAGACAGAATACGATGCTAATTTATCCTCAAATCTGTGGGCCATATCCTGGATGCTTCAATTATTGAATACAATTTCCTTGCTGAGGCAGAAAAGCCTCTGATTTCCCAGTACAATTTATGGTGGGATGACCTGCGTGCCTTGCCTGAACAAGGAATGAATTAGATTTGGATTTCACCCTTTACTATTTCTGCCTTCCTAAATATTTAATGTACTTGGGACAGACAGAAACTTAGGACCTGCTCTTCAGCTCATCAAATCTGGGTAATTCTGGAGATGTTAATAACTGATAATTTAGGTCAACCAGGGCTCTGATCCTTCCAGCATGGTTTGGAGACCACAGGTGTATTATAGTCTAGATCTAGTTGGTGCTCTTTGGGGTCAGCAGGAGATCGATACCACTGCTGAAGTTCTCCATGAAATTAAAAAAAAAAAAAGGTCTAGGTATTATCTGGGTATTGTTTATAATTTTATATTTCTCCACCAAAGGAGACACTTAATGACATAGCGACCTATTTACCACAGGTTGGAATAAAGGAACTAAGAAAATTATTCAAATTAGTCCATAAACCAGGATATCCTGTCATGTTGGATAGGCATTTGAGAAAGGTGAGAGAGGGAGATGTATGAAAGAACAGCCATTCTGTTTTTTTAGTTTGTGTGGCCACTACAAATAGGCAGTATTTTATGGTTTATAAAAAACCATGCCAGGGTGAAGAGGACTTAATTGCATTTAAAAACAAAAAACCAAAACAACAAAATTTTTTTTTCCCAGACTATTTCTACAGCCTTTATCAGTCCATACATACCTTGTACACGTCATGCACCGTGGTCAGCCTGTCAAATCGCAGGTACATTGAATTTAACATGAGAACTATCTGAATAGGCTCACATTGGGCACAGATGTTGGTAAAGGTCACAACATCACTGAACAATATAGTGCACTCCTGGAACTCTCCTGTGAGCAGAAAGACCTGTGGTAAGCACTTGTAATGGCTGGACAATCACATCTGTTTGAGACTTGTTTGCAAAGGTCATTCTTTTAAGACACGACCTATCAGTTGTAATACTCATACAAGTGTTCTGAGATGGAGAAATGTTGATATAAGAGTATATCAAATATAAGAATCATTACACACCTCAAACAATCCAGGCATTTGAATATATCACATACAGGATATACTTAGCTCTTTACCTCTAGCTCCCTGTATGTGCTTACTAAAGGGAATTTAGGCATATTCTTGCTATCCTTAATAACAATGGGAATCATTATGATTCTAAGTTTATAGATAGCATAGGGGAACTTAGAGAATTTTCTAGGAAAGACCAATTTCTTTATTCCTTTCATTTCTGAGCCCTCGTTTCCCTTCATATCCATGTTGAAAACAAAATCTTGGATTACTGTTGAAACACTGAATTTTGCTCACTGAATGGGCAGCTGCTATCACCTTTCACCTCCTAAAGAAAAAATCTGGCAAATACTTTCCAAAGCTTCCTTTGAAAGAATAGTCTATCTTTTCATTATCAGCAAGATTAAGGATCTGTGGTCCTCCTTCTACCTATGAATGTCACCAAGTAGAGAATGTGCTCCACAGCAGTGGCAAAGGGGCTGTGCCAGTGTCTCTGTCACCATCTCCTGACCCATGAATTACACACCACAAATGCATCCTGTTCATTCACCTGCCTCAACTCTCTTCCCCTCTTTCAGCTGGTTGGCCACGTGCTGGGGAAGCATAGCATAGAGCAGAGCTTCAGTCTTCTTCTTCTCTTCCTCCAGGTGCTTTGACAGTATCCGCAGTTCCTCCTTCTTCCTCTCCAGCTGGTTAGAGAGCTCCATCTCTGCCAGCCGCTGCTGATTGAGAAGAATCAAATCCCTGGTCACATCGTGAGGCGCAATGTCTGCAATGTGCATCTGTCGCTCCTCCAGCTCGTGCAAAGTGCGAAGCAAAGGCGAGCAGAGATAGAGCATGCACTGCAGGGACTCCATCCACATCATCTGCCCTGGGGGAGACAAGCCGTGGTAAGAGCTTTCAGCAGCGTGGGCTGTCACGTGACGCTCAGCATTACTGCTGGTAATTTTAGGGGATGAGTTCTGAACTCAGTCAGTCGGAATCACGCACAGGGGAACTGAGACTCACAGTGACTAAGTGAAACATTTGAAATTTAATCTCATGGTGGGTAGTTTTTGCCCCAGTTAAGTCAATGGCACTTTCCTTCCTGGAAGCTGGAGCTTTCAGTCACTACCATAACCTAAATAAGCAGTTACAAAAACGCCTGAAAGATAGAAGGGATTTTTGGTGGGGGATCGAGTTTTTGTAGGGGTTTCTTTGTTGAGATTTATGATTTTGATTTTGAAATATTTTTATTATTATTATTCTTTATAAGTATACTTATTCTTCATAAGTATCACTGGTTTCTGAACAGCAATCTAGGAATTCCTACATCTTTCTTTCTCTCTCACCTCATCCCCAGGGCAACTGGATGAACAGCTTGAAAACTAAGAGGATTGAAACATCATACCATGTGAATTAACCCCCTGCAGCATAAGAGAAAGTACAATTGTGTCCAGTTAAAGTTCCTTGTTTTGGTAGCATCAGTTTTTTCCAAGATCTCCCTAAACTCTTAATTTTTTTTCTGACTCTCAGGAATACCAGATTTGACACTCGTTATGTAAAGGTGAGAAGAGATAAGGGAAAATTAGGACATATTACATAGTTCAGAGAAGCAAAATTGAGGTCACAGAACACTTAAACCAAACGTCATTATAGTTAATTACACAAAGCAGAGGATCATTCTACACTCAGTCCTCTCAGCAAAAATAAAGCAAATACATTACCTTTTCTGCTAAGATAATTTTAACTGCTAAACTCTTACATGACATTGGGGGTGTGTGTGAAGACAGAAATCGGAATCTGAAAATGTGACTACAAAAAATAAAAGCACAGCTAACTAATCTATTTTTATCCACATTTGAAACCCAGCCAGTAGCAAATAACCCCCCTCAAAGGCATAAATTAAGAACTAATCATGTATTCACATGTGGGTTTTGCAGCATTAGAAAAATGCCACATTTCTAAGCCTTTCAAATGGGAGCAGAATTGTTGTTTCTGACCAAAACCCTTCAAAATCTGGTGAGGTAATAGCAGAATTTGTCTACAAGCATCTACTGCTTCTCTAAACAGAATCATCTAATCTCCTCACTGCCCAAAGGCTATTTATAGGACTTATGTGAGGTCAGGAGTACACAGAAAGACATCAGTTCAACTCAGCATAATTCCTGATTTAATATGAACACTTATGCATTGACAACAGCAAAATACCTCTCAGCTCTAGCATTGGCCGTTGTTTCCATGACTCTGGCATCATCTCTCTTCTAGTCTGGAAAACAAATTGGCTGTTGATGAATTTCTGAATGCTGGAGATGGTGAAGGGTACTTCTGGGTGAACGATCCTGAAGTACTGATCCAAGGAGATGCCCATGGTCTGAACGCCAGGTACAATCTTTTGAATGCTCACCCCAGCTTGCTTCACTCTGAGCTTAAAAAGAAAATATGGTTCATGTGTTATAATTCATGTCTTGTTGGGCTAAGACCAAGCTACAGCTGCTCACTGTTTATACCTGTACACACATTTAGTCTTGCTATAGCACATGGCTTGTTTCTGAGCAAAGTTTCTACCTTGTTAGTGTATTACTACAAAGCTCTGAATTAATGTCCTTTATAGCCAGACACCAAAACACCTTGGCAAATATGATCTTCTAATGGATGCCACGAGCTACTTTCTCTTAACCATTGGTATGTAAAGGTTTAGTTATTCTCTTTTAGCCTGCTGACCATACATGAGCTCTTAATTTCCACAGAAATGTCCTGCACTGCTCATCAGCAGTTATTGAAGCTCTGACCTAGCCACCAATAACAGGTGTAGGACTTTCCACCTTTGCACATTAGTAATTTTTTTTTAAATTATGCACACCAGACATCTTGAAAGGTTTAAGAGTCTGAATTTTGTCTAATGTGGGCAGTGGCAGGAAGCAGATTATGTGCTCTGGAATCTCTATCAGCATGATGCCAAAACATGTTCCCTGAGGGGCTGCTTTCTTCTGCTGTCCTATCCTCACCTTCTCCTCTCTTTGCTTCTGTCTGAAGCAAATGTTCTCTCCACAGAGCTGGGAGCAAGAGGAACTGCAGCTTGGTGGGAACCCAGGCTAATTGGAAACCCGCCACAGGAAGCCCTGCCGAGGGGTGGCACAGTATGTGTGCACAGGAGAGGAGACTCAATCCTCCCCTAGAAGGTAAAGGGATTTTTGGTTCTAAATGAGGTTGCACACTGCTCGACTTAGTAGGTAGCTGGGTTTTCCCAGTATTTGGTAACAGACAGACTGCTGCAATAAACCTTGTTGGTATATCTGTAGCTGTTTCAGACATGGTAAACTCAGTAAAGTCAAAGGAGATTCCTATCTGAAATGATCCAGATGCAGCTGTTATGCTTATTGCATGTCTCTGTTCAGAGTGCTTCTGCAAATCCTACAAATGAGTGTACACTGCACGCAGAGCACACACAGCAGTGCACTCTGGGACAGTCAGAACAGAGGGAAATTACTATTTGGTTTATGCACACTAAAGGCCTTTACCACATGCTTGTCCTACCTCTTTATCAAAAACCATATGGAAAGGAAGTCCATTGCAAAATGTTTTTGTGTCAATCCAGAGGCTCTTGGGATAAACAGGATCAAATCCTCTCAGGAGCTTACCTGTGACAAGATAAATGTGTATTTTTTAATCAGGCTGCACTGCTTTACTTTTTAGAGCTCAGTGAGACAGGACCCTGTATCATAATGAGAGAAGACAAAGCAAGCAGCGTGTGGGGCCAGAAATGCACACACATCTGTGCTAAATGCTTTGCAGTTCAATCTACATCTGATTAGCAACTAATCTGAACTGGCTAAGAGTTTAAAACTTAACCACACAAAAAGCACAGAGCACTAGATGCATCAAATTATGTGGAAAAAATAAGAATAGATGAACAACTGTAGATGTTGCTGCTCTATGAGTTTGCAGATGCCATAGCAATATAACACAGCTATATCTCACAAAAATGTGCATGGAAACGGACTTAATACACTTTGCTAGCTACTAAGGAACACTTACAGAGAAAAAAAACAGCATAATCTGGGTTTTAGTCTCCCATACAATGAGCTCGAGTCCATAGCACAGAGACCAAATCACTGTTTGGTTTCTATTTTACTTACCCTGAGATTTTTTTCAAAATGGTGACAAATCTACAGAGTAGGTTGTGCTTACTAGTAGATACTTTTGCAAAAGGAATACAGTGGGTAAAATAATCAAATGGGTTCATCTTTTGAATGAAGCACCAAAACCTTTGAACTTCACAGCATAAACTTGGATTTTCCAGTAACCCACAATAATCAATAGGATGATTATTTCAAGTGCTCTCTTTCCCCCAGAAGGTGGCTATGACAATTACTCTAGTAAATTCTGCTGAAAATAATTCTCAAGTCATTCAGGAGACTGGTGCAAAATATTATAAATTTAGAACCCAGCTTTTAGACATCTTACTGCTTTGGGGAAGTCAATGTGAGTTTTTCATTTATCAAAGTCTGCCTCTTGATAACTCTCACATTCATAGTTAAAGGATTTTCTTTTTTTTTAGTAAGAATGCTATTCTAAAATTTTATTTTAAATATATATCAATTTCTTACTCAATATATCTGCCCTTGTAATGCATGTGACACAGCACCAGATGATACCAGGTTCGATTTTTCACTCCTCCCGGAATCTAGACAGCTTGGCAATACTGAGCTGGATTCTCACTCCTTCTGGGGAATCAGAAGATCCAAACTGAAAAAATCCTTTCCCTTTATGAATATATATAAACTTCTAGTATATAAAGGTATGAACAGAGATTAGCAGTAGATTTTTGGTAGGAGGAAGTAATTTGGCTTTCAGAATTTACTACAGTTGATAATTTTGGAAAGGAGTAGCATCTAGCACATTAAAAACATGTTTTTAAATTCATCATCTTTAAATCAAGTGACATGAAAAGGAAGAATCAAATGCACCACACAATGACATTTTATAGAAGAATACTTTTTAGATGAAAGCCCTGTTTAAGAGACAAGAGTGACAGTCATATTCCATTTAAGTATCTGTCATTACTAAGCATGCTTATTATCTTCAATTTTCCTGTGATTATCAATGTCTAACAGAAGGAAACTTAACCAGAAACATTTTGAAAATTCACAGAGGAAATATAAATGGTAACTTCCAAGTGGATGGGTGGGTGGGGACAGGGAGGCTTACTGACTTGCTTACTGAAGAGACTCAGAAATGATGACAAGTTCCCTCTGAACAATTTCTCACCTTTTCCTAATGCAATTATTCCTCTTAATGTTTTCCAGTGACTTTTCTTAACAGGACAGACAGAGTTTCCTCTGTCTCCCACTGTATTCTTGGCTTTTTCAAGGTCCTGTTGAAATAAATACAAAGGGAAATTAAATTTTCATTTTAAATATGTTTTAACAATATATCGATAATGAACATTAAAATACCTCTTTATTCAGTTGGCTCTCACTTTGTTTTTCAGAGTCAACAAGACATCGAGGTGAGGAAGAAATTTCATTTCTTTCCTTGCATGGAAATACAGGGTTTTGAGTGACAAGAAAAACAATATGTTCTTTTTTCCCAGTTCTTTCCTCTTCTTCTGTTTGATTGACTATTTTCATTGAAATCTCAATGTTAAAAAAATCCAGGGCTGCTGCACCAATGATTCCTGAAGGGGAAATAAAAGACAAGGTACTGCCAAGAACAAACCCTATTCATTTTCCCTTTTAGGGGGTCCATGGTGGAATTTCACTGCATCAGAAATCGCTTTTCGAAAGGACTCTGGAAGAAGAAAGCAACGTATGTCATTCTTACTATGATGAGGATATGCACACAGGAGGTAAGCTTTAAAGTTACTGTATTTTTTGCCTTGTCTGAGGACAAATGCTTATTTTCACTAGAAGCAGCTCAGTAGGACATCTGAAGAATGTGTTCAAGTAGTCATAGAGCAATAACATGAATTCCCATTAACCCAAAAAATGCAGGGAGTCTAGAGAGATTCTTCTATACAATCTATTTCAGTCATTGCAGAATATTTTATTTTGAAAGGAAGGAAATGTCTTTCATGCAGATGTACAATCAGTTCTCTCATTTCTGCCTAGGTATTAGGCAAAATACTGGACAATGACATCAAAAGCTCTGTTTGAAATTCCAAATAGTTCTGTGCTTTCAATATGAAACAACTTTTGATAAAGGGGAAAGTTTTGATAAACTTTTAAATTCAGCATCATCTGTGAAAGAAAGGAATACAATCACCTCTTACAGATCTATAGCTGTTTAACCCTTGCACAAGTACAACTGGAGATTCCTGTAATGCTGGTAGAAGATTCAGTTTTGAGCAGGGTTCAGTAGTAGTTTTACAAATTGCACATCCTACAGGGTGGATGAATGTCTTCAAATCAACTGTAATTCTGTAATTTCTTCATTGTAATTTAAGGAGCATGAGTCACTGAGAACTAACAAACAGTTAGACACAACAAACACCATGAACTTTAATTTTTCTTCCATGAAGGGAATTCTGTGGCAGGAATGGACACTTATGGCCTGGGTTGTCATGTCATAAATTTTGATGGAAGCTGCTGGGAGCTAGGAGTGATCAGGCAGTAGGGAAATACTGAGTTTAGGTGTCTGGAGACTAAACTCTACTGGACTTCAATTCCATGGCCTGTCCTTAGCTGAAAAAAGACACTGAAATGTGAGCAAAGTGTATCTGCAAATATATGATTACTCTGTACATAAACTGCATTACCAGCTGATCTGTAAGCTGAATTTTGTCTCATTACCTGGTACAATATGGCACAGACCTCTTCTGTCTGAATAGTAGTGTAAATGCATTGACCCATCTTCATTCTTTTCTACTCTAAAAGATGGTGCATTCATTTCCTGAGGAAAAAAAACAAACAAAACCAAAGCCTCAGCATCTTTTTCTGATAAAGAATACTGATGCATTCCACTTGTACAAAAGTATTCGTGTCTCAATAATATGAATAAGCTGAAAAACAGAGAATTAAATATTCCCACCTGTGAAGGAAAATCTGCTATGCATTAGAGCCAATGTATTAAATAATACCTAACCTTGAGGACTACTCAAAAATTGCCCTAACATTTTGGAGCAATCTGTTTCAGAACACAGGAGAACATGTTATAGCGTGTTTTTTCATTATTCACTATGAGATGCTGTTCCTTGTACTATGAACTCTGGCAGAGTCCACCCATACCTGCTCAGCAATCACTACTTGGACTTGCCTGGTAAGAAAGGGACAGGTAGCTGTGCAATGCATCCAGGTTCTCTATGAACTCATAGAGATTTCCACCCAGTGTCCTCAGCATGTGGTCATAGCCTGAGCGCTTACAGAATTCAAAGAAATACTTTCCAAACTCTCTCAGAACCAAGTCAGCAGGAACACCTGGCAAAATAAAGATACCTAATAAGAAAGGCTTGGAAATGCTGCCAGGTGGACTAAGAATGAAGGCAGAATATTTGCAACACAGGGAGGGCATTCCAAAGGGCACAGGAGACTAAACCTGGGCTGCAGTGTCAGGCCTGAGCCAGGACAGTTTGTTTTTGCAGCATGGTGACACATACCTAATACTTTGCAGGCTTTGTCGACAAGCTGCATTGTGATCTCATCTTTGTAAACCTCAAAAGTCAAGAAAGAATCCTGGACTCCAGCCTGCAGTCTGCAACAGAGAAGACAATAGTCCTGTCTCAGCAGTGCTCTAAATATAACATGCTTGGGTGACCCAACTGGCATTTGTTAAGCACTGTTTACTGTGAACACTCCTTAATCTCCTTCAAGCATTATAGTGGAACACACTGCTTCCCATAATGATGTAAGATTAAAATTAAATTGCTTTAAATTAATTAAATTGCTTTAAAATGGCTAAATAGTGGTGTTCACCCCTCCATTTCTGCTATTTTATGTTATGGTATAGCAGTAAACTCTTTCAAGGATTCAGGCATCATACTGTGGGGTACTAGAGCAACCAGAATCTTAGTTCTTCTTCTGTTCAGCTCCGCAAAGTGGCTGGTTTGGTTTTTTTTTTATATTAGCTTCAAAGATCAATATATGTATGTATTTAAGTATCATTTATATATCTTTATATATTGGCAAATACCATATAGTTCATAAAGTAAAGACAAAACCAGAGATGGACAGGTTGGATGGGCTTTGAGCAACCTGATCAGGTGGAAGCTTCCCTGTCCATGGTGGGGAGGTTGGAACAAGATGATCTGTGATTCTATGATTTCGCTGTGTTTCTGAAAGTACTGGAATTAAACTAGCTTTATATCAAGGATGGCATCTTTTCAGTGTAATTACTTCTCAATATTGTCACAGTGAGCTAGTGAGTCTATTGCACAATTGTCTATAAGACTAAATGTCATCTTTAATTATCCGATATGACAAATTAATTGGGACAAATTAGTATCAGAGTATGAAGTGTTACAAGGCAAGAAACTCTTGCTTTTGCCCTGCTAGTTAGTTCTAATAATTACCTGAGATACACATCAGCTGCCATTTACATATGGGAAATTATAATCCCCTGGTGCTGAATTCCTGAGCGTTTTCTTTCAATGCACTACAATTATTGGGAACACATTACCTTAATTTTTCCCATGTTTCTTCACCATACTTCTCAACCACCAAAGACTTCAGGCATGTGTTTATAAATCCATACTGTAAACACAAATACATGAAATGCAAAATACATACTGATTTTTTAAATGCTTCCCCAATGTGCCACCTGTTCCAGATTCCACCGCTCATTTTATATTGCAAAACATAAAGTAATAATGTTTGACAGCCATTATATCTTTCAGTAAACAGCACAGCCTTTACCTCAGCATTTCACAAGCATTCATCAAAACAGAGCCAACAGTCCATCCTGTTTTGCGGCGAAGGACCCGGGGGCTCCCGCAGGTCAGTGATGCGCCGTGCCGTGGATGCAGCCCGAGGAGGGCACAGCAGCCACGCACGGCTGTCGCACCCGCGGGCGAGGTGGCTGTGCCGTGGCTGCTGTTCTGCGTTAGCAGGGACAGACCCCGCGCTGGAGATGGCGGGGAAATGCTGAAATATCCCCGACTAGCCCTGTCAGCGCAGCAGCAGCCCAAGGGTGATGTGCTCCGAATCCCCCGAAGTCCGCTGGTCAGCAGCATCCTGCCCGC